TTAAGCAGATGAGCTTTAAATAAAGTTTTGAATAAAAAAAATTTTATTCTGCCACTTCTTCAGGAGCCCTAGTGGTGTAGTGGTTATACATTGGAATGCTAGCCACAAGGTCAGAAGTTCAAAACCACCAGATGTTCCATGGGAGAAAGACATGGCTTTCTACTCCTGTAAAGAGTCATAGACTTGAAAACTCACATGGGCAGTTCTACCCTGTCCTGTAAGTTTGCTATGGATTGGCATCAACTCAATGACAGTGAGTTTGGTTTTTGGCTTGGTAACTACTTCTGTAAAACTTCATCATCCAAGTTATATTTGCTCCTCTGTCATCATTTTCAAGATCATCTAACTTTCACCACCCCTTATCTCTGTCTCATTCGCTCCATAAATTATACATATTCTTTATATTTATTGTATGTGTATTACTGATAAGATTTATCAAAGTTCTCCCACATGATAGTTTCTTTGCTAAATTCTTCAATTATAATTTATCTTAACCCTCATAATTGCTGCCATCCAGGTTTTACATGTAGTTCTAAAGATACAAAAGTGAATAAAACTGGTTCCCTTCCATCACATTAACAGTGCAATCTGGATGATCACACAGATAATTCATATTATGAATATAGCAGATCAAAACATAGAGTCCTCTTGGCTGGCTAATTACTATTAAAATGTGAAAATTTGACATTTTGCTGGGGCATATTCAAGTAACACAAATTGGAGTTTCTACTACTTCATGAACAATTTGAAAATTTGCTGGGACAGGAAACAGGAAAAGAACCTAGGAAGACCTCAGCTGGTAGCTGGAGGGGCATCCAGGGTCATAAGGTCAGACAGCAGTCTTTGATGACGCCAAGCAGGCAACCTGGAGGACTCAAGTCCAAAGAAACAAAGGTTGATGAGCCAGGATCCAGACCAGCAGGAAGTGAAGCAGCTCGCTATAGCATCCACTTATTTTTGAAGTTGGCTACACCTCTTAGGAAATATTATCAGGACTCTGACCTGAGTAAGGGGTTACACTTCACTATTATCTTCTCATAACAGTTTAGCTGCTCATAGCATACCCCGTCATAAAGTTGATTATATTACTGTTAGGTCACATCATGGGGGAAGCTTCAATTGCCAAAGAACCTCAGCCACGCCAATCTGACACAACCCTAATTATCACACTGCTATTTCTTAAGTGGAGGAAGACATTTTAATAAGACATACTTCAAATACTTTTTTTCACTTCTTAGTTAGTATTCCCCCTCAAAAAGCAGCAACGGAGACATGGATTTGTATGCATGTGGTTTAGTTTTTAAAATGATACCAGGGAACAGGTATGGAGGAAAGAGAAAGAGTGGAGCAGGGAAAGAAGAAAAGTCGACCGAACGGTGTTTTATGGAAAACTTTGAATCAATCTCTCTGAGAAACCTTTGAGACACTTTTTTCCCTGGGCCACTAAGAACACAGAAGAGATGAATATTTAAGCACTGGCTCCATGGAGTATTAATTTCTCTAGGCTTCCAGGTTTGCAAATGCATTGAAATCACTGAGTGGATTCCCACAAGTATTCCACACTCTCGTCACTGTGACGTTCTAGGACCGAACAGGATATAGAGAGGTTTACAATCAAGTGAACATATTGTGTGGCTGTACCTGGGTACAACTGGCTGCCATAACAACAATAGAAGCCAACAATTTGGATTGAGTTCTGTGAAATTAGTCATAAAACGTGTTCAATGCCGTGAGTTTGAGGGGTGGGGCTGAACTCAGGACATGGTAAAAAAAATTCGGAGTAGAGTGTAGGTTAAAATAAGTCAGAATGCTCTTTAGAAGTGAGAATAGTAAGACTTAGCCTCATATATTTTGAGCATGTTATCAGGATATATCAGTCCCTGCTTGACAAAATAGAAGGTCAGATAAAAGAATAAGACTCTTGATGAGATGGCTTGACAACAGTGGCTGCAAGATTGGGCTCAAACAAAACAATTGTCGGGATAGTGCAGTGTTTAATTCTGTTGTACAAAGCTGACTCAAGACAACAACAAAAATATTTGAAAGGCTTTTTTCATAATGTACCTGTTACTTGGTATAAGTCCTGTCTCTTATTGCAATTCTTTGAGTTAAGATATCATTTCTAAATAATAAGCTAAAGAATATTCCCCATCAGGTTACCCCATTACCTAACATATTACACACTTTCCTGTATTCGCATGAAAATCTCTCCTCATTATGACTCAGAATTGACCTTCAACTATTCCCCTACTTAGTCCCATATTTTAATTAGGTCAAACTAAAGGCCAACCTGGGTTTCTGGATAGAATATCTGGATATGTTAGAGACTCAGTTTTTATTCTGGAATATACCACCAATTATCTAATTGGACTTCAATATTCCTATCTGAGAAATATAGGGGGTAAAGGGAGAATTATATCAGTGAATACCAAACTTGCTATATATTCAGGCCACCAAGAGAGATTTAGAAGAGAAATAAAGATTATAAAGTACAACCACTGTAGATTTTGATTTATTATATATGGATAGAGGTAGTAGGATTATATTTTTAATAAGCATATAATAAGTACAACCCTGGCCATATAATTATCAAATTCAATTATACAGCCAGGTTTGTGAACCACAGGGTTAGATATATTTTTAATATTGCTTCAAGGTTATGCTTGGATTGTTAATTGGCTCTGAGTGTCTCTGACTCACGGTAACCTTATCGGTATGTTTGAATAAAAATGGTGACTATTTTGTCAATCTATCTCATTGAGGGTTTCCTTAATTTTTGATACCTTCTGCTATACCAAACATAATGCCTTTTTCGAGAGACTGGTCTTTTTTGATGATATGTCTAAAATAAGTCAGCCAAAATTTCACCATCAAAGCCACATAGGTGTGAATCAGCTGTCATTGAGCTTAAGCAATACTCTGAGATATGTGCAAACAAAGTAATGTTTTTCACGACAGAAGGGAGGTTAGGAAGATACCAAAGAATATTTAGAAAAGAAATACAGGGAAACAAATATACTCAGATCTAACAGAGAGCTCTAAAATTAAGCTAGTAGGCCACTTGTCTCACTTTAAAGCCTGCCTGTTAGAAAAGGATGCTAAGATTAGCATTGCAAAGAGCAAGGATGGAGGACTATCAAGGAGAGTTTCAACAGTTAACAATTTTGGAAAAGAGTGTTCTTAATTGATGGTGTTTGTGCTTTATTGTCCAGCTTTAATTCCAAAGGAAGACATTTGCTTTGCTTCTAAACCAAATATTGTACAGTCCCTTGATAAACTAGACATTACGTGCTATGGTGAGTTCATACAGCATTTTATTCTTACATTTTCTGGACCTTTGCCCATTTTTCTGAATGTTTAGTGTGTTATGTACTGCCTTGTATTTCCCAAGAGATTATCAGAGCATTACAGGCAAGAGTCCTGTTTTAGACATTTCATTATCTTCCACCTAAAAACCCCATTGAGTTGATTCAGACTTATTGAGGCTATAAATCTTTATGGAGGCAGACAGCCTAATTTTTCTCTGTGGATCAGGTTTTGGATTTGAAACCCACAGCACCACCAAGTCTCCTTATTATCTTCCATGGAGCACTTTAAAAACTCCACTTGTTAAAAACACTCTATTTGGGGTCATATGGACCTATGTTGGAGTATGGCCTTTATAACTTCACATCTGGGAATTATTTCATCTCCAAAATGAGAATAACAAAACTGGTCTCATAGGATTTGGGAAAAAATTAAAGGAAGCAGGATACAGAAAATGATACTGGATTCAGACTTGTTGAAATGTATAGATAAATGTTAAAATGGGTAGAAAATTGGGTAAAGAGTAAGTGATTAGCACATGGTAAATTATTATTATTTTCACACAGCAACTTGCATAGTAAAACCTAAACCAAATCTAAACAAGTTGCCATGGAGATGATTCCAGTTCATGGCAACCCCATGTACAGCAGAGTAGCACTGTGCTCCACACAGTTTCCAATTACTGATTTTTTGGGAAGAAGTTCACCAGGTTTTTCTCCCAAGATGTCTCTGAATGAACTCAGACTGTCACCTTTTTGGTTAGCAGGAGGAGTGCTTAACTGTTTGTACCACCCAGGTTTATATTCACCTATTGCTGATAGATACCAATTAAACAAAAAAACACAATTTCCCAAATCCTTTCAATTATTATCAAGGGCATAAGCAAGAATTTCATCATTAACAAGTTAATTTATAGACTTGCGACCCCTAAGGACCTCTAACTTTCCACTACTAATGAGGTCCCAGGCTTCTACCTCCAGAACAAAATTGCTCCATTTCCTGTCCCTGGCTGGCACTGATGACAGAAAAGGCTAGGTTAGGTTACCTCTCTTCTGCAAACTGGAGAAAAGCCTTGGGCAAAGTCTTGACCAGCTACCATATTCTTTAGCCCAGATAAAATTCTAAGGCAGCAAAGACTGATAAACAAGTCAGTATGCTGTTACCTGGGCAATTTTCTATCTGAACAGTTGAGGAAAAGAACTAGTCTAAAGATACAACACTGAGGCTCCAGATTGAAAGTGGTGAGTGATGAATCCGGAGAAGCTTTTCTGAAGTTCCCAGCTTTGGGCATTAATGACTCTAAGCGAGACCACCGTCCTTTCCATTCTTTGGGAGCCTGACTATGAAGAAGTAGGCACCTTGGGCACATTAGGGCTGACTGCAACCTCTGAGAGGACTGTCTCCATACATAGCCCACAGTTTTCATAAGCTGGAGTTGGAGGGACGCAATAAATGGGGCCAAAGTTCTTCTTTGGGACCCTTCTCTTTAGAAGGCGGCAGGACCATCTTGCAGAGAATACTCCAAAGGCTAGAATCACTTGGGAGCTGTGGGGGGAAAAAAACCCATTGTGGTCTCTGCTGAAGTTCAAAATCTCAATGTGGATCCAATTCTCATGAATGGAGCAGGTGACAAGAAGGGGAGACTGGGTCTCTCTCTTTTCTGTCTAAGAAACTCTTTTCCTTTGTCCCACAGGATGCCTTAAATGAAGATGGCAGCCAGAAACTCCTCCATGATAGAATTTATCTTTGCAGGCTTAACAGACCAACCTGGACTCCAGATCCCTCTCTTCTCCCTGTTTCTAAGTGTCTATACCATCACTGTGGTGGGGAACCTGGGCTTGATTATTTTGATTGGACTGAACTCTCACCTGCACACACCCATGTATTTTTTCCTGTTCAACTTGTCCCTCATAGATTTTTGTTATTCCACTGTTATCACCCCCAAAATGCTGATGAGTTTTGTTTTGAGGAAGAACACCATCTCCTATGCAGGGTGTATGACTCAGCTCTTTTTCTTTCTTTTCTTTGTTGTTTCTGAGTCCTTCCTCCTGTCAGCGATGGCTTACGACCGCTATGCGGCCATCTGTAACCCGCTGGTGTATTCTGTTTCCATGTCTCCCCAGGTCTGCCTGCTCCTTCTGCTAGGTGTCTATGGAATGGGATGTGCTGGGGCCATGGCCCATACAGCATGTATGGTCAAACTTACCTTCTGTAAGGACACATTTGTCAATCATTACATGTGTGACATCCTTCCGCTTCTTGAGCAATCTTGCACTAGCACCTATGTGAATGAGCTGGTTGTTTATATTGTTGTAGGCATTGACATCGGTGTGCCCACAATTACCATCTTCATTTCTTATGCCTGCATCCTTTCTAGCATTCTCCATATTCGCTCTGCGGAGGGAAGGTCCAAAGCCTTCAGCACGTGCAGCTCTCACATCATTGCAGTCTCTCTTTTCTTTGGATCAGGAGCTTTCATGTACCTCAAACCATCTTCTCTTTTGCCTATGAATCAGGGGAAAGTGTCTTCTCTCTTCTATACCACTGTGGTGCCCATGATCAACCCATTAATCTACAGTTTGAGGAACAAAGATGTGAAAATTGGTCTAAAGAAAATTTTAAGTAAAAAAGTATTCTCCTGAGAAAAGGACAATTCTTATGAAAGAGACTCTTTTCCCTCTACGGTGATTGAGGTTTCAGTGGTTTCATGGAAGAACCTTTCTCAAAACAAAATGTATCCTCCCCCATTTCTGTGCTGGTCACTATTGAGGCAATTACAACTCGAGGCAACCCCATATGTCTCAGAGCACAACTGCGCCCCCTGGGGTGTCTCATGGCTGATTATTTTGGGAATCAGATCACTGAGTCTTTTTTCTGAGGCAACTTTGGTTGGATGTAAACTTCCAAGTTTTCACCTGGTAGAATTGGAAGTTTCATAGTGATTTTAGTAGGGGAAGATTACTACTTAACCCTTTTTCTTAAAAGTAAGCAACTTTTAGATATTTGGATCCTTTTTAGACTTTAATTTAACACTCATTATTGATTTCTGCCTAAATAAGTTACTACTCTGATGATTATAAAACAGATTCTTCTTTTATTTATCTCCACCGTTTTTCTCCATTTTTAGTTACCATTCTGCCTTTTCTTCTCCTTCATTTATTGATTTATATCATTAGAGACATAGATTCAATGTTCATCTAGTGTGTTATAATTAATTTTGTCACTATTTTATGCTTAATTTATCCCCAGCTTGGCCAGACTGAGCCTCTTCACACTGACTCATATGTCCTTTTGACATATCCCTATCAGAATTTTCAGCAGCAAGCAACATTTTCAAGATCAGTGCTCAGTTCTAATTAGAGATGGATGAGTTTTAAAACTAAGACATGCATGCTAGATGGAATGAGCTATAGTTAATAGGATTCTGTGAGCAGGAATTAATAAGAATAGTTGTGCTTGTAAAAATAATTCTTTATATGTTCTTCCATGTGAAGGTTTGTTTGTGAGCAATATAGTGGCTATCTATGAATGAGTCAATCCTTTATGGCTCAAAGTTTATCATTCCTAAGTATCATCTATCATTACTCTTTCATTGTCCCACATGCCAGTTTCCTCAGATCACAATCAGGGACAGTTTAGACCACCTAAAAGGGAGAAATAAGCATTTGGTGGGAAGAAAATCAGGCTTGAGGCACTTATCCAGACAATTTTAATTGTCCAGACAATTAGAATATCATTTAATCTGGTTTTTTCCCTAAAGGTATGCTGACAATCCCAATTTCTTCTTCCACTCATATTGTATCTTGCAATGCTCTTTATAACTCTCCAGGTTATCGTGCTTTGAGAATAGAGTTGGACATACAGTTCCCATTCAAGAGACTCATGCTCTTCAAACTTTTAAAATCTAAAAACCTATTAATAACATTTGTTAAGATTTTACTATGTGTGATGGTCTTATTTAATCCTCACAACAGTATGCCACAATTATCTCTATTTTCCAGATTTGTAAACCAAGTCTAAAAGAAGTTAAGGAACTTTGGCTGGGATTGCACAGGTAGTAGTGGTGGAGTAAAGAATTACATTTAAGCTGTCTGACTTTAAGGCCTCTTAACACTACCTGACTTCTGGATGGTTCAATGTAGGTTTATAGGAAATAAAACATGGTGCATATATAGCCCTTTTGTACAATATTTTTTATTGACCATATCTCATTTGACCTGAACAAGTCTTCATATACTCTTATTTGGAAACAATTTGCCAGAGTAATATATGAAGGGAATTATCATAAGGATTTTTCTCTTCTTTTCATGTAATGTTGGTAGGGTTAGTGATAAACAACTAGGAAAGCTACTGGATTAGTATAATATGGATTGTGAACTGATTTATTTATTGGAAGTTATGTTCCCAACACGTGCAGGGAGCTCAATGTCTGTCTGATACAGAAGGTGTTAAACAATGTTGAACAAATTCCTAGCAAAACCTTAAAATATTTGAATTATGTTGTGTTAAATTAGTTTTTAATTATTTTTCTAAAATTTGTAAAAGCAGTACTTGAGTGTTGTAGGAATATGTGAACATAGAGAGAAGCAAAAGATTTTTCAAATTCATGATCCCCCCATTTAGAGCTAACTTTCCTTAACCTTTTGAGGTTTATGAGGAGGCTTCTAAAAGTTTTTGGGAAATGGAATGAAAAGATAATGGAATTTTCCTTGAAACTTTTGAAGTCTTCATCTGTTCTTTTGGCATATTTTCTATGTGTATATAGGTATAGTTTTAATGGCTTATATCAATTTTCAGAATTATAAATGCACAGAAAATATTATCTGTATTATAAGTAGTGTTGTGTAAACTTATTTCCATTGGACAGTACATTGTGAAGAATTTTCTGTGTGATTAAAT